GATCGACCCAGTGTGAAGAGCATGGGCTCATCGTCAGACACCCTAGGGATGGAATTCTATTGCTGGGTATCTTCACCTCTCAGATACTCCTTCATGACTACACCTTCTTAGAGTACACATCTTCAAGACCTGTTACAGGGATTAAACAAGAATGAAAGGAAAAGGCCTAGCCGCATGCTAGATACCCCAGGTAACTATTATCAAAGAATTACTCCCTTAACTCCTCTGTTCCAAAACCTTCAATGGCTCCCCAATGCCCAAAGAATTCACACTTCCTAAACTCATCTGGAGTCCTGCTGTGGCTTAATGCACCAGACTGCAAAGCGGTTTGAACTGCAAGGTCGGTGGTTCAAGCTTACCAGCTACTCCTTGGAAACCCCACTCAAGGTTGTTATGGGTCGGAACCGACTCACTGGCACTTAACAACAATAACAAAGGCATCTGGAATCCTGGTGTGGTGTTCTAAGTGAATGTGCTGGACTGCAAAGTGGGTCTGAAATGTAAGGTTGGTGGTTCAAACTCACTAGCCGTTCCTAGGAAACCCTATCTATATGGGATTGCTATGGGTCAGAACCGACTCGACTGTATGTAACAACAGCAACCTTGAGGAGTCCTGGAGTGACACTGTAGGATAAGCACTGGACTGCTAACCACAAAGTGGGCAGTTCAAACCCACCATCTACTCCTCAGAAGCTCAATACAGGGTCACTATAAGTCGTCACGTAACAACAACAACAAAGCAACCATTAGCTCACTTGAGTCCTCACACCATCCCTGCAGAGCTGATACTATCATTGGCCTATTTTACAAATGAGGAAACTGATCCCAGAGAAGTTATGTGACTCCCCAAAGGTCTTAAAGCTTAAAACAGGATGAGCTGAGATTTGAACCCAAGTTATCTACCTCCAGAGTCCCTGTTCTCTTTGCTCTGCTGTACTCAAGCCTCTTGCTTCTGTCATTCGCGCTCTCTTGATGATTTCTCTCCCATAGCAATAGGGCTAACCACAAGCACAGGGCTCTGTGGTTGACCAGCCAGGAAACTTCCAGTCCGTCATCCACTGGGACAACTGCCTATCCCCACTTTGTCATACAAGGGTCACACAAAATGTGCAAGTAGGGCACCCAACATAGCATCTAATCAACTGTAAGAGCCCGATCAACAACAGTCCTCATGATTATTGTTATCAGCAGTCCGGCAGTTTCTTGCTCATCTCCACGAGCCAGAGAAACACCAAACACGTCATAGATCCTCAATCAAGTCTTATGATTTGAACTCTTCCTTCCAATTCATTTTCTCAGACATTCCAAGCAACTTGTGAATCTGTTCTGGGACCTGGGAACAAAAGGAAGCTGGCGGGCAGAGAACTTGAGGAGGTAGATAATCCAAAAATAATTGATCCCAGGTCATGGAAAGCATTTTGTTGACGGCAGCAGGTTGACCTTCCCAATTATCTTCTGCTTAGGCTAACGTTACAGGCCTGCTTGCCCCAGCCGACCAAACTGCCACGTGTGAGCCTCACAGCCCTAAAGGATAGAGGCTCAAAGCCTTTTGCCAAGGCACAAATGGCCTGGACTACAACTCACCAGGGTCCCCTGAATTTGAGGTTCAATCATATGATACGTCCAGGGGCCTCTTGTTTTGCATCAGACATGGGCACTCGGATGCTGAGCCCAGCTACAGCTTCTTATTACTAGAAACGCTGCCACGAGCAGGTGGGGAGCTTATCAGCAGACCAGTGACCAAGGTGTGGATCATCAACCCTTCAGGGCCCTAATCTGGGTTCCTAATGAATCCTGACTCAAGGCCACTGGAGACAAGGTGTCACCCCACTTTGTACAACTAAGAAAATAGGTCCCAACTCAGGAAAAGACCACACAGCCTGAACACAAGTCATGGGCACTGCGAGGGCCTCTCTGTCCTCTCCTGGCTCCTTGGGAGACCAAGCTCCAATCTCACATGCTAAGCAGGTGTGCATGGCATCCTTCTTGCCAACTCCCCTCTTCCTGTGGAGATGCAAGAGCACTCAGAAACTTGGTTTTTCCAGGTCTATTGGAAGGAAGCCTTCTGGGGGCAGGAAGTAGGTTGTGCTGACTCATGGGCCAAGGGAGCGTGCTCCAGGAAACTCATTTCCACGGTAGCAGGCTGCATATCCACCCCTTCCTCTCTGCAGCTCACTCACAGGTTGGGTGTCAGTAGCAAGGGTACGTACGGCATGGTCAGACAGGCTCTGTTACCACTATCCCTAGCCCGCATCCCATCTCTCCTCTGGAACTGCAGCCTTACAGAAAATGCACCTTTACTCTTGTAACCCAGACCACAGACTGTCCTGGGGTTCAGCCCTTCCCTGTTTGCAGAACATTGGGGACTCCCATCAGCAGAACCAGGAAGCCTTCTATGGAAGAAAGCACCCTAAGAGACAGTCTGGGTGAGTCAAGGCCCACTTAAGTGCCTTTCGCTGCCCCAGATTCCCAACTTCCCGGTTACTGTTTTTAGCAAGAGGAAGAGGAGGGTGGCATCAGACTCTGAGGCCTGGGCTGACTTGAGAGGGCCGGAAATGTCCCCCACCTGGTCCCCACCTTCACTCAAGGAAAGGGTCTGGGACACTATGAATCTACGCCCGCCCCTCAAGGAAACAGGGGAATGTGACATCACCATTTAAAACTCAGAGCACTGCACTGAGGAGCTGGCAGTCACTAGGGTCAGTCACCTCTCCCCTCCCCTAAACTGATTAAAATAAATTTTGTCCTATTTCTCATTCCTTGGGCCTGGTCCCAATATGCTTCCTCTGTAATCTTCCGGAGTCCATCACAAGGTAGAGTTCAAGTACTTAAGCTATGGGGTTCTGCATGGCAACACATTGTTGTTAAGTGCCATAGAGTCGGTCCCCATCCATAGGGATCCTATATAGGGTTTCTGAGGAGCGGCTGGTGAACTTGAACTGCTGACTTTGTGGTTCAAACAGACCTTGCAGTCCAGCACATTAACTCACAGCGCCATACCACGGTAACATATCTAGGTTTAAATCCCATCTCCATCACTTAACCAGTTGAGCGACCATGGCAAAGTCCCTTACCTAGCAACATCACCTCAGTGGATTGCTGAGGAACTAGTGCGGGTGGAGGAGGCAGGGAACAACTTATGCCTAGCACAGTGAATGCCCAGTCAGGGTCAGCCAGTCTTGAGAATCTTCAGACACCAGCTAGAGACGGGCCTTTCAGGATGTGAGACTAGCAAAACTGAACTCCTCCAAAAGACTAGAGGAGGGCTCCCTTACACACACTCCCTCAATTTATTTCTCAAAGTTGGAGAAACTTGGGACTTTTTAGTTGTCTTAGAGTTGATTTTGATTGACATCGACCTCACAGGGCAGACTATAACTACCCATAGAGTTTTGTGAGTTGTCATTCGCATGGGGGTAGTCCTGGTGTGGTGCTGTAGGATAAGTACTGGACTGCTAACCACAGGTCTGCGGTGAAAACCACCAGCTGCTCCTTGGAAACCCTATTCAGGGTCGCTATGAGTGTAAGCAATTTAATAGCAAAAAACAATCTCTATGGGAGCAAATTGTGAGGTCTTTCTCTTGGGTTGGTTGCTGGGTGGTGGGTTCCAATTCTAGGTTGTAATAGTTAAGCACTTATCCAGAGCATTACCAGGGCTAACTTCTGAGTACCAAACCCCACACCAACCTCACTGCCATCCAGTGGATTTCGACTCAGTGACGCTACAGGGTAGAATGGAATTGTTCCATAGGGTTTTTGAGCTGCAAATCTTTATGGGAACGAACTGCTACATCTTTCTTCCGTGGATTCAAACTGCCAATCTTGTGCTTGCCACGCCAATGCTTAACCCATTAAGCCACCAAGACGCCGATCTGTGAGTGGCAACCTGCCATTTACCCATTCAGAGATCAAGGCCCAGAGTGGCAGAGTGGTTGACTGAGGTTACAAACAGGCAGCATGAGGCAGAACTAGGGAAGGCCCAATCTCCCAGCCTCTCCCCAAGCTTTGGGCTCACCCAGGATTCCCAGGCAATGGCCCACTTGTTTGTGGAACACAGGGAGCAAATCAGACACACTCCCTTCCCAAGAAAACACAAGTGTTGCAGCCACACCCTCCTCCAAGACCAAGGGCTTAGCTCACCCACAGGGCGGCCAGGAGTGCTTTGTGCTGGGTGGGGGAGGGAGGGCAGACCCCAGTCTGGCTGGCTGATGTCACTGAAAGGGATCATAATGACTTGTTATATGGTGCCCTGCCCCACAGACTCCAAAATTCCAAGCCTGAAGGGAACCTTAGGGCTGCTTCTGGGGCCCACCTGCCAGAGTCACCCTCTGTACCCCTGGGAGGCCTGTTCTCACTCCAGCTAGTGGGGGTAACGGAAAGAAAAGAAGCTGCCTCCCCCGCAAATGAAGATAGAAAGACAGTGCCCATTCAAGAAGGGCATATCCCCGCAAACCCTGTGACTCAGTGGGCAGTCTGGGTGAGAAGCGGTTGTCAACCCCCCAAGCTGAACAGATTAGAAAGGAGAAAGGATGTCGGGAAATCCCCAGATAATCTTACTAGTTTATAAGAAAGCAGACAATGCCTGATGGCCTCAGGTGTGGGAGGCAGCTGGGGGTCTCTCTCCTCCTTCCCATCTCTTAACATCTGCCCCCACGTAGGTCAGATCCTTTGTGACCCGCCTTGACCCTCAACGTATAAATTTAACTTCCTAGGGATCCCTCGTTCCAGTTATGTTTCTCTCTGCTTGCTGCCTCAAGCTTGCCCTCCCAAAAGCACCTGGAACCCCCATCTGTATGACTCTGTCACAGCTCACATCTTCCACATCGGGTGCTACTTACTATAGTTGTTACATCTGGCCACTTCCCGCGTCCACGATAGCCTTCCCGCAGTTCTTCCCCTCACCCCAGCCCGCCCGTTCCACTCCCCTAGGGCCCCGTCGGGACTGCAGGCGGCGAGGCCCGTACCGGGCCAGAGAGGGGGGCAGGGCGGCCAGCGCTCACCATGGCGAAGCCGGAGAGCAGAGCCGAAGTCCGGCTGGAGGCTTTGAGCTTTGCGCGGCTCAAGTACAGCTTGCGCCAGGACAGCGCCTGCATCGAGTGCTCGTTGAGGCTCATCACCTCTGAGTAACTCTGGCCGATCCAGTCCGGGTAGGTGACAGCAGGGGGCGGCGGCGGGGACCCCGGGGGCTCCCCGTCCCCGCTGCGGCGGCGGCTCCGGCGGCTGCCGCTGGTGGTGCTACCGCCGCTCAGGGGAAGCTCGGGGCTGTTGTTGCTCGGGGGCGGGGCGGGCTCCGGATGCATCGAGCACGTTGCAAAGGCGCGGGCCGCCCGGGCGACTGCACCGACAGCGGCCCCCACCCCCGCCGCACGTCTGCCTCCGCCTAGCGCAATTCGCTGCCTACACGCCGCGCGGGCCCGGCCTCACCCCGCCGGCAGCAAAGGACACACAAGAGGTCGAAGAAACGATTGCAACCCCAACTCTCAGGGCCGCGGATCTGCTTGCAAAAGTGCGGGACGGATACGGCGCGAGCCTGCGCGCGAGGCAGTGTCCCGGATCCCCGGGCCCGGACCCCCGGCGCGCGCCGCGATTGGTCGCTGCCTCGTGAATATTTGCATACACTCCGCCCACCCAGACGCCCGGCTCCTGAGGAGGTAGGCGGTGCGGGTAAGAGTCATGTGAGTCTCCTCCTTTGGTGGCTCCGCCTCCCTTCCGGGCGCGAGTCTTTCAGGAAGCGTTTCACGTCTTCGGGCCTCTGCGCGCTCTTGCTCGGGCGCCTGTTGTCTCAGCAGCTGCTAGGATGGCGCTGCTCCCGGAGCTCGGACTCCTGGGCATGGCCGCCTGAGGTCACCTCCTTCCTAAGCCCTGTTTCCCACTTGGAAGAAGGTGTTGCAAGTTCTGCCGGAGAAAAGGTCTGAGGTAGAATTCAGTCAGTCAGTGTTTAGTGAGTGAGTGCTTTCTGGGTTCCATCCCCTGGGTTACATTCTAGAGAGGAGACACAAATAAGTGAAGAAATGAGAGTTTTACCAGTTGCTGTGGAGTCGACTTTGGATCATGTGTGTTTCCAGATTTTTCAATGACTGTCTTCTGAGATACCTCTGGGTAGACTCGTGCTGCCTTTTAGTTAGCAGCTGAGCGTGTTAACCGTTTGTATCACCAGAGACTCTTCTTAGCGCTTGTTGTGTGTCTTGGAGTGGATTCGGACTCATAGCGACCCTTTGAATAGAATAGTGTTTCCTAGACTGTCAGTCTTCACAGACAGATCACCAGATCTTAATGCTGTGAGACAGCTGGTGGCTTCAAATTGAAGACCTTTCTGTTAGCATTAGAGTACTTAACAATTGCACCCACCGTAAGCCTTAGGCTGAGGGAATCCAAGAAAAATAATTTTCCTGGAGCTTCTATTTGAGTGGGGGAAGAATTGGCAATTAACAAGATAAATTCAAACCTTTCTTACCAGGTGGTAAATTTGAATTGAGACCTGAGTTTTCATGAGGGAACCAACTCTGCAAGAGCTGGGACCAACATTCCCAGGGGAGGAAACAGCCAATGAAGAGACCTACTACTAATACCTACCCAGCTGCTGAGTCAGCAGAAGGCCAGTTCATCTGCGGATCAGTGGAGGGGCAAACATGGGGTGGGAGCTGGACCATAGTAACCTAGGACTTCACAGCACTCAGCACTCAACAAGGAGTGAGTGAAACTCAGAATTAGCCTGTTGTTGTTATGTGCCGTGGAGTGGGCTCCGATTCATAGCGACCCTGTACAGGCTTTCCGAGGCTGTGAATCTTTATGGGAGCAGAAAGCCTCATCTTTCTCCCGCGGAACAGCTGATAGTTTCGAACTGCTGACCTTGTGGTTTGCAACCCGATTCATAACCACTGTGCTACCAGAGCTCCTAGTTGCCAGCTATTCGCACTCTAGGGAAGTGATGTAACAGTTAACTCTTACCACCACTAGAGAGCGCCTTGCCACTCCCCCGCATTGTGGGATAAAGCAGAACCCCCTTCTTCCCCAAAAAGCCTAGGAAACTTGAAATGTGAAATTCCATCCTCTGGACTTGTTTCAATGGTGCCCTAGTAGTGCGGTGAGTTAAACGTTGGCCTGCTAACCACAAGGTCAGTGGTTCAAACCCACCAGCTGCTCAGCAGGAGAAAGATGCGGCTGTCTGCTCCTGTAAGAGTTCACACGGTCAGAAACCCTTTGGAGCAGTTCTGCTCTGCTTTATGTTGTTGTTGTTGTTGTTATGTGCCATCGAGTCGGTTCCGACCCATAGCGACCCTGTATTAGGGTTTCCGAGGGTGTAAATCTTTACGGGAGTAGAAAGCCTCATCTTTCTCCCGCGGAGCAGCTGGTAGTTTCGAACCGCTGACCTAAAGGTTCACAGCCCGATTCGTAACCACTACGCTACCACCAGAGCTCCTTATAGTGTTGCTATAAATTGGAGTGGGCTAGTTCGCAGTGGCTTTTTTGGTTTCTAGGCCTTGCACAGTGTGGCGCTATGGATTAATGCACCAGACTGCGAAGCTGTTTGAACTGCAAAGTTGGCAGTTCAAGCTCACCAGTCCCTCCTCGGAAACCCTATATAGGGTCACTATGGGTCAGAACCGACTCCACGACACTTAACAACAACAACAAAGGCCTTGAACGGGGAGACTCCCAACCGAGGCATGCATAATCAATAAAACTACAAAGGAAATATCCAGCTTAGAGTTGGGTATGCAGATACTTCTTATGAAGGGGTTTTATTCCAACCACTCCAGCGTAAAGTAAGCTAGTTCTAATGTAAGTAGAATACGGTTTTGTTTTTTACATTTTCTTTATCAATGCCTCTTTTAAAAAATATATTTATCTTTATGAATCATAACAAACAGTGCACATCGGAGAATGATAAAATCTGCAAATTATGCGTTATACAGTGTTCATATTATGATAAGATGCACCCTCAATGAAAGATCTTAGTAAGTGCAGACAACTTTACACTAACCTTTGAGAGACCTGGGGAAAGGAAGGCTTGCACAGCTAGAGGAGGAAGGGGTTCCTTACAAGAGGAGAGTTTGCAGATTGAGGAGGAACAAAAGGGTTGGGCAGTGGCTACTCGGAAGGGGGCTAGGCGGTGGGGATGGGGCCAGGTTTCCTTTCTTCAGCTCCTACATCATGCCCCTCCTCCTTAAATCCCAGGAGTTTAAATTCCAACGGCTGCCCAGAGCAGAAAAAATACAAATACAAATCAGGGGAAGGTCTGGGGAATCCCTGCTCCCAGCCCCAGGGTTTTGGAATTTGAAGGCCCCCCCCCCCCGTTAGTTAGTACCTGTGCCCTGTCCATGTCAGGAACCTTGAGATGCACCAGTGCCATCCCAACATCTTTTACAGTTGGGTTAACTGTGGCGTGGCAACAATTGTGAGGTTGGCCCAGGACTGGGCACTATTTCGTTCGGTTGTGCACAGTGTCGCTATGAGTCGGTATCGACTCGATGGCACCTAAAGACAACAGCAAACTGAGGCACCAGAGAGAAAGCAGCTTGGAAAATGACAAGAAACCCATTGTTCTTAGTACCATCGAGTCGCTTCCGATCAATTGTTAAATGCGGTTCCGACTCATAGGGAGTCTGTATAGGGTTTCCGAAGAGCGGCTGGTGCGCTTGAACCTCCATCCTTGCGGTTCAAACAGACATTGCAGTCCAGCACATTAACCCGTTGCACCACACCAGGACTCCAACTAATAGTGACCCTTTATATAGTTTCCAGGAAGCAGCTGGTGGATTTGAACCGAACAACCGACCTTGCAGTTAGTCCAGTGCTTATCCTACAGCACCACATCAAGACTCAGTGGGAAATATGAATTAGAAGAATTAGAACCCAGGCTCCCCTCCCCCCAGTGCTTCCAATCATTGCGTATGGTTCCCTCTAGTGGCCAGGCGGTGCGTGTGCACCAGTTTTAGATTTATATTGGAAAAAGCCAATCAGAAGTTTAAAATTGTTCAGCTCTGAGGAGTATAGAGACCCCTCTAGAAGAACTGCTGCAACCATCGCCCAGGGTTGACCCCAGATGACATGGTCTGCCTGGGGAGGTGTAGCAGGTTCCCCATCACATGGGATGACAAAAATAGTAATTATAATCTCTCTACAATTGCCATCAAGTTGATTCCAACTCAGCGACTCTATAGAACAGAGTACAACTGTTTCATAAGGTTTCCGAGACTGTAAGTGTTTACCTGAGCAGACAGCTTCATCTTTCTTCCTTGGAGCGGCTATTGGTTAGCAAGCCAACAACACTTACCCACTGAGCTCCCAGGGCTCTTTAGTAATTATAATAAGGAGCTCTGGTAGCGTAGTGGTTACGAATCGGGCTGCGAACCTTAAGGTCAGCGGTTCGAAACTACCAGCTGCTCTGCGGGAGAAAGATGAGGCTTTCTACTCCCGTAAGGATTTACACCCTCGGAAACCCTGTACAGGGTCGCTATGGGTCGGAACCGACTCAACGGCACTTAACAACAACAACAATTAGTTTAAAAACCGAAACAAAACTTGGTGGAGCAATGGTGAAGTGCTTGGTTTTTCAGGGAGATGTGCAGTTTGAACCAACCTAACACTCTATGGGAGACAATCCTGGTAATCTGCTCCTCCAGAAATTACAGACTTGTCAGTGAAATGTGACAGCAGTAATTTGTTACGTCTGAATAGCTCCTTGAGTTGTCAGTAGTACATGCTTAAGGAGCTCTGGGAGCGTAGTGGTTATGAATTGGGCTGCTAACCTCAGGGTCAGCAGTTCGAAACTACCAGCTGTTCCACCGGAGACAGATGAGGCGTTCTGCTCCCGTAAAGATTTACAGCCTCGGAAACTCTGTATGAGGTCGCTATGAGTCGGAACTGACTCCACAGCACAAAACAACAACAAAGTCCATGCTTGGGCCCACATTTCCCCTCCATTGGTCGTTGTGGAACCTACAAGTCCATTTGGAGGTGCCTGCCTTTTTATCAAAGCTGTCCAGAAAACTAATAAATGTAAGACACAATCTCCCCGACACACCATTGACTTCCTATGAATGAGAAATCAAATTTTGTTCTCTTAAGCCACTAGGGGGCGGAAGGGAGGGAAACTTCAGCCTTGGAATCCCTATGAGGCAGTTCTGCTCTGTCCTATGGGTCCCTTTGAGTTGGAATGGACTCAAGTGGCACACAACACAACAACAACAAGAAGCACTAAGTAGTTCTTAACGTATGTCAGACACTCTTCTAAGCATATCATTATATTAACTCAGTAATTCCTGTCAACTTCTTGAGGTGGTTGGTAAGTAACGTGGAGTCGTTCTGACTTACAGTGACCCTGT